AGTTTTACAAATTCAAGAAAGGTACATAATTCAATTCTCACTACAAGACCAAAATATCTTAGCAGCCTGTTCGATCATTATACCTTGTGTACCATCACACTGCCTTTTAATCTCTACATCTTAAGTTTTCTGCATAATATTCATAGTACACTTTGATCTCGGACATGCCATTTCCAGTCTCCGGTTTCCCCTCTCCTCCTCCCATTTACAATATTTAGTTAATGCTTCACGAAATAAATCACAATATCGTGACTGGAAGAATTCAGAGATAGCCAACATTTTGGAGAAGAAATTTTAAGAATTATTTCTAATCACAAATGAGAAATAAACGAGGAGAAAGTCCCAAGACAAGGCAGATAAAGAGAAGAGAAACTCAAAAGTCACCTCTTTACCTACCTTGTCTGCTGGCTTTCTCCTCATTTTCTTGCTCATTTGCGACTTGATAATGGTCTAGGACGGACCGAAATATCCAAAGATTATTCCCCCAAAAGAATAAAAAGTCACGATACCGTGGCTGGAACAATACACAAAAAACCTCACTTGGGAGAGGAACCTTTCGATCCGTCCTGAACCATATTTTTTTAAGAATCATACTTCCGATCCATATGTAAGTGCTGGTACCACTAGACTGGTAAATTTTATGTATTACTTAATACTTATGTATATTTTTTAGTCTAATTATGTATCTTGATATGATCTTGTCTTCAAGTCAAATTATTGCAAGTATAAATAATTTTATAAACAGACACTATTTACCGAAAGTTGAAAAGGCAACAAAACGTAACTTGTGCACTATCCCTAATGTTTTAGAAAGGCTTCTACTTGTATTAACTCTGGCATTAAACAAGGCTACGTCAAATCTTCATCTCGCAGCTTGGTACTGAGGTCACGCTCAAGATATATTACCGGCAAATGTAATAAAAGATGCGTGTAAAATATTAAAATATCAGTGAAGACGGTGCACCACGAAGTCCTGCTCTAATAGCTGCAAATACGTAATTACACAGATGTGCTCCATACTCAAGAATGGATCGCACGTAAAAAAAAAAAAAAAAGTGTATTAAACGAGGCTTGATCTAGTTGCCGAATGCCAGTCGTAAGCTTGCGAGGCTATTTATATTCACGGGGATACCGATAAATTCGTAAATTTTATATAGCACATGCGAAATGCTAGCTAATCAGGTTTGATTCAAGGAAGAGAAAGGTAGATCCATTTTTTTTAATCAAGAGCCGTTCACTTGCATCAAAGTACCCTAACATGAAGGGATTCGCGAGCCTAGCCTGTGTTACTGTTTCATTCTGTTAATGTGTGCTTCAGAGGAGGGACAGGTTTAGGCTAATGCTTTTTCGTAGGCCTTTAAAAGTTTCCGTGAGCATTTTTTCCTCCCGGTACTGGGTGCACAAAATAACCTAATATGTTTTTACATCTTGCATTTTTGTGCTCCTGAATTTCATAAATGATTTTAGCTGTAAAATATTTTATTCTTGATCATAAGTTACAGGCTCGCACATAAAGTATTAAAACAAAGTAGAATAATGAACGTCCGAATATATCAGAGAAAATTTTGAAAAAAAAAAAAAAATGGGAAAGTATTACAGAGGCGAATATAAATCGGGCTGGTGGTGGTGACCTCTCTCTCTCTTCTCTCTCTCGCCCGTTCTCTCTCGCTCTCTGTTGCCTGTCTCAGTCTTCCGCTTTTCAGATTAAAGCCACACGTCTCGACTCGTTTTCTCCGTTATTTCTCCCTTCCCCATCTCGTTCCTAATCTGCCATTCGTCGTTGCCTTATAACTTCCCGCTGCTTGAGCATGCGACAAGCATGCTACAGTTACAGTACACGGCCTAGATTCAAGGCTGAGCTTAGAAATATCAAGGCCGATGTTCTAGGGTTCGAGGCAGAAATTCGAAGCATCGACGCCGAAATATCGAAGTCGGTGTTCGAAGCATCGATATCGAGGTTCGAAGAATCAAGGTCGACGTTCATGGAAGGTGTCCAAAAAATCAAGATCAATGTTTCAAAATATCAAGGACAAGATTCAAGACATCAAGGACTGCGTCCGAATCACTGAGGTAGACGAATTAAAAAAAAAAAGTCTACCGTCAGTGTCGATACAGATGGTCGAAGTCGATGTTAGCGACAACGCTGATATTTCCGTTTTCCCGGCCGTCATAATCAACAATTCCGCACTGATATCCTCTGGTGAATACATTCATCCCTTCGGTTCAGCCATTTATAAATCTGCAATTGATTATTGCCGCGCGGAAGCAAACGACGAAGAGGTTTTATAAAGCACAACTACATTTGCTTACATCCGCTCTAAGGTATACTTTTGCCAGTTTGGGGAAGCAAGTGTGGTGAACGTAAAGACCGCTATAAATTATCGTCTCTCCAGACTTACAGCTGAAAAACTATAATTGCCTGAGCACTTCGTGTTAGGTTGCCACAGTCTCGCTTCTCGTGATTCCAGATTACTTTTTCTCTTCATGGGTTCAATCTGTCCGTCCTCTTAATTACTTGCTCGGAAATTTTCCCCCTCGCTTGATTACTGAATTGCCGCTAAATCCTACTGTTGTCACTCGCATTTGGCGCTGCAAAATTATGCATTTAGTTTTGAAAATGTTATAGCTTTGCTTTTATGCATATTTTAGTATACATTACTAGAAGCAAGTGACATACTTGAGTCTCACTTCTTTAAAATGGTGAGAGGCTCCAGCCATGCTCATGTTTACATACAGCGAAGTTCTACGAGTTCTACCGCATTGCAGACCTGCTCCAAGTGTTTAGACGATTTAGTGACATGAGAAAGCTTTTCCATAAAGAGCCGGATGGGCTGGTAAGGAGTTGCAAAAAAAAATTTGTATATTAAAGAAGAAAGTCTTAGCAACTAAGTGGGCCTTATAAAATCTTTGTAGCTCTGCAAAGCTACAGAGCTAAATATTATTTCTAGTATCTGATTAAAGATTCTAATGGTAAACACAAGAAACAACTTTATTAAATAGTAGTAGTCTGTTTCACAGATTAGTGATGAACCTCAGCCACCTCCACAGGCAATTAAGCAGATAATAGTTCCAATTCACTTTATAAAAAGAACAGCAGATTTTGAAGTTCATTATTAGATCAGGCATTATTACCCATTTGTGAGCCATATATTTTCCTATCATAAAGATAGATGAGATGTTATATTCGTCATTTGCCTTGCTTCTGGGTGCATTCAAACTAAAGAAGCAATTTTCAGAAAAAATGGAGCCCTCACTAAATTTTAGTGAGAAGCTTTGAGATGGATGGAAACGTGGGAAGTGTGAGCTCATTGTAACAGTAGATGGTATCTGAATACCGATGAGTTATCGATAACGAAGACACAAAATCAGTAATTGGAAACGTTATTTAGACAACTTTTCGCCTACACAACAAGCGAAACATGGAATAAAGTCTTCAGTTGCTGCTCTTAGGGCTATCATCAGCAAGAAGCTTATTGATGCGGTCAGCTGCAGTGAGATGATCGTCTCTTACATGTAAACAATTTTGTACCTCTTTTCATATTGGTCTTCTATTTTGCAGTAGTGCATGTCGCTTCGTCTTCTAGAGGCACTGAGTAGGCCTACAATAAGATAAAAACCAGCCCATCGAATAAATTTACTGTATTTATTGTATGTAAACATGAGCATTACGCTGACACAAATCCTGAAATCTTAACATTCAGAAGTGAGACGCAAACATTACTTGCATTCTAGCAGAATCTTCTTAGATATGAAAACAACAGGCATGCAGCATTTTCCAATAACAGTACAACCTGAATTTCCAGGTTGCTAAAAAAGAAAAAAAATTATTAAAGAACGCTACACAAAAAATAAGGAAAAACCATTGGAAAGCAGCCAGTCATAAATCAATGTCACTCACAATGCAGCCTTTCAGGCAACTGCGTGACCCATTCCGGTATAAAAACAACGCCAGATCTATAACTGCATAAACGTATCATAACATGAAGACATATACATCTAGTACATGAGTATTACTTCCATAAGCTACCATCCACATAACATAATAATGTGATCAACGATGCTTAGGTTAGGCCTCAATTAGATTATGCTGCACAGTTTTGGTCACCGTATTACAGAATGAATATAAATGCTCTGGAAAACGTACAAAGGAGGTGACAAAGTTGATCCCATGTATCAGGGACTGAGGTCACTGAATCTGCACTCTCTAGAAAGGCGTAGAATTAGGGGGGATATGATTGAGGTGTATAAATGGAAACAGGAATAAATAAAGATGTAAATAGCGTGCTAAAAATATCTAGCCTAGACAGGACTCGCAGCAATGGTTTTAAGTTGGAAAAATTCAGATTCAGGAAGGATATAGGAAAGCACTGGTTTGGTAATCGAGTTGTGGATGAGTGGAACAAACTCCCGAGTACAGTTATAGAGGCTAAAACGTAGTGTAGTTTTAAAAATAGGTTAGATAAATACATGAGTGGGTGTGGGTGGGTGTGAGTTGGACCTGACTAGCTTGTGCTAGGTCAGTTGCCGTGTTCCTTCCTTAAGTGAATGTGACCTGACCTAACTAGGTTGGGGCATTGGCTTAAGCCGGTAGGAGACTTGGACCTGCCTCGCATGGGCCAGTAGGCCTGCTGCAGTGTTCTTTTTTTATGTTCTTATAGCGAGCTGAGAAATACTGGACGATCACTTGTCAGCTTCAACATCGCCACAGACATGAAAACAAATTCCAAAACGCAATCAGTACAGAAATACACACAGTATATAGCCTTACCTGCAGGGCGGAAACCACGGCTGTCCGATCATTCTTGCAAGCCCACACAAATACTGCAAGGAACATCACACTCCCACAACAAAGACGAAATACAATAGCGCAATAAAACATGGTGACAAGCCTTGTATTGAGAAAGGGTACTATTGAGTTAGCCAACGGACATCACTCCATCACAGGCAAAGCAATAAACATAACATTAAATGACCAAGAAATACATAGTACAAAGCCTTACCTACAAGGAGGGCACCAATGAGCCGAGAAATAGAGACCGATCACTCTCTCAGGTCCACAAACATCGTTGAGGTCGACCAGGCCGTTGTGGCCAAGCACTTTCTCCCCAATGCTCTTGATCAGGGAAGGGTGAGCCATCTTGCTGCACTTTTAAGTATCTTATTGTAGATGTTTCAAAGATGTTTCCACATAACAGTACTTTTTTATTGTGTTTTTACAATATTTTGCAGATCCTTTTGCACCCACAAGAAATAAGTTTCCTCTGTCACGTGAATAGACAGTGAAAGGCGTTGTGTGTATGTTTAATATATACACACACATCACTATATATTAATATATTATATTATATTATTATAATTATATTAATATACTATATTATATATATATTTATATATATAATTATATATATATATATAAATGTGTGTGTTGTATATAATTGTATATATATATATTATATATATATATATATATAATATGTGTGTGTGTGTGTGTATAATTATAATAAAATATATATATATATATATATATATATATATATATTTTATATATATATTATATATATATATATATAATGTAGATATATAGTCAGAGGGCGTTCTCGTACAGGAGCTCGGAGAGGCAGAAATCAATCACAAGATCACAAAACAATTTTCCACTCCGCTCATTCGTCGATGTTTTGTATAGACAAGGAAGGAGGGATAACCGTTGAGGCGAGAGCAGCAAAGATGAGTGAAATGCCCGTTAAGAATAACCGATATACATATATAGAAACTACATTAGTTTTACATAAATAATCACATCGCTGTTTACAGGAAATGCCTCTACTTTAATTTTATAATAAAAAAAAAAGCATTAAACTACTTTAAAGTTACATTGCACATAGGCATAAGAGCATGTTTATGAAGACTGCAATGAGAACAGTGATGAAACCGTTTGTGCAAAACGAGTTACACTGGAATGAATTTGAAAAAATAAAAATCCTTAGTCCTGAGCAACAAAGCCAGTTATGGTATATTTAATTTACTGATTAATTTCAAGCTCCACGGTAACGATTCGCAGTTCTTAAGGAGCACACTGGAAAAATGAAGTTTAGCCCATTTTAAACAAAATCGATACAAATAATTCATTTTTTTTTCATATTCTGTGTGAAGTATTAACATTACGTTCTGTTTCTAACATGATAAATAGCTATTCTCCCTTTTTTTTTTTGAAACTATTGAGTTTCCTTACATGTCTATTTTTACTTCACTGATTAAACATTATTGATGTATGGTATACTGTTATACATTCATGGTTACAAAACCGAAAAGTAGATGAATAAGACATGTGTAACATTCGAGTACCATTATTGTGGGACGTTTCGCCAGTCAGTGGCTTCTTCAGCTCAATACAGAGACGGTAGTTTGAAGTGATCAGTCCCTCAGCCTTGAAAGATGTTCAGTACATCAAGAACGATGAACTGAACACCTTTCAAGGCTGAGGAACTAATCATTTAAATAATTTCACGTCTTCCATTGTCTCGAGTATTATTCTCTATACTAGACTGATAAAGCAACCAGCTGGTGAAGCTTTCCCACAATAAAGATACCCAAGTGTTGCTGGCAACTCTCCACACTTGAATTAATCATTTAAACATTAGCACATTGTGTAAACATATTTACATAAAAAACGGTTTTATAAACATCAATTCAAAATAAATATTACACGACAACGCAAGGGTAGATGTAAGCATTACAGCATCAGATGATTGTGTTTTCAACTTTTAAAAAGGTGAACTGGTCTCAAGGGGAACCTGATGAAACTACCTTCGAGCAAAACTGCCTAAACTCTCCAAATGTAGTAATATATAATATATATATATATATATATATATATATATATATAATATATATATATATATTTAATTTATTTATTTACAGTAAACCATTTGTTCACACGCAAAGATCAATACTGGCTGAGGTCAAGACTTGTCAACATTCGAATCCCTAGCCTTCACAAGGTGACACGTTCTAATATATAAATCATTAGAGGTAATAATACAAGAGTTAGTGGCTCCCCTCGAGTACTTGAGAAGCAGGTGATAGATGGAGACCAGTCACGCAACCTGCGGCCTGTGTTTACTACCGGCCAATTGCAAGACTTGCCTTAGTCATTACAATTCGATTTTCATCTTGTTGTTGAGGGACTACACACTACCGTGGCAAATTATTATTGTATTCACAGTGGCATGACAAAACGCTTAAGACGGAGTACATAGTTTCAGATTCACATCTTGCTCACTAACATTTTTACATACTGAAATCGTAATTTGTTCTTTTTGCTCTAAAACATCACATTTTCTTAAAACATAGTGCATACAATAATTCTATAATTAGAGAGCAGCATGTACCCGAACGAATGGAACACGTGAAATACTTTGGTGAAATATCAACTGACAGTAAGGAAAAATGTAGTGAAAGCTAGAAAAATGGCGAAATGAATTGAGCTTTCAAAACAAAAGAAATAGTGTCAATGGTTATGCTATTCAAATCACTTGCGCTCTCTCGCCTAGAGTACTGTTGGATGTTAACGGCTCCATTCAAAGTAGGAGAGAGCTGGGACAGATATAGATCACTTAGTGCTTGCATGGAGCCCATAAAACATTTAAACTATGGGGAACACCTCAAAGTACTGAATATATATGTACTTTCTGGAATGAAGGAGAGATACAGGATAATTATATATGTAGAAAATATTGAGGGCCTAGTACATCAATGTAATAGATATGGTGGGAAGTGTAAAATATTTTCAATGAAAAGTAGGGGTATTATGAATACAAGAACACTACGTAAACATACATTGGCCTAGACTATTCAGCATACTACCAAGGAGATAACAGAAACAGTCAAGTAGATATTAGTAACAACTTGGTTGACCAGGTAATCAGAAAAACCTGGCTCAGGATGAGCTATGGAAATAGAAGACTCGAAACGGGTCACAGGCATGTCACAAGCCTTAATATTTTTTGTTAATGAAAAAAAATCACGTTGAAATCTTTTAATCAAACATCACTGAAACTTCATTGAATAAAGAAATATCCTCACTATTTGTACCAAACGATAAAGTCCCAACTTACTATAGAGCAACCATACAATTCGCTAATTAATGTTTTATACATTTGGCATCACAGAACATTAGTGTACAAATGTTTACCTGGAGTTTACCTGGAGAGAGTTCGGGGGTAACGCCCGCGGCCAGGTCTGTGACCAGGCTCATGGTGGATCAGCGCTGATCAACCAGGCTGTTTGCGGCTGACGCAAACCAATCTAGAAAAATCTTTCCGTATGTCTTGTAATCGAGTGTCAATTTAAAGACCTATCACAGCCAGGGTGATTAAGACTGTCTTCCAACATTGTCGCAATCCTAAGAGCTGAATTTATTCAACTCTTAGGGAGACTGAATAAATTTTTAAGAGATAAAATAAGAACATTTTCAGATTTAGCTTTTGGTTTATGACCAATTAACTGCAAGGGTCATTAAAGTCACAATCAACGCAGTAAAAAATCATTAAGAATACTTTCACCTCTGATGAAAATTTTATTCAGGTTATTAAGCCGAGGGTTAGTGGGTTAGTGACCGAGGATAACCCAAAAATGCCATTGTGGTTCCACTGGGATCCTTCGGAGTCCTTTGGTCCTCTTACATAGAATGCGATCGGCAACAGTCGTTCAACACTTGGTCATTCATTCGCTGCTAAGGGAACAAAGGCAACAATAACAAAAAAGTCCAGCGTTCCTATTCACCCTGGGATCGAACCCGGGTCCTTCGGCTGAGACGAAGCCGTGACCACTGCATCAAGAGCCACTAAACGGATTTAAGATGTAATTAAATTGTGAACATAGATAAAGATAAGCTTATTTGTGTGTATTCGGTAATCGTACAAGGCCGTAACAAAGTGCGCAATTTATAATTAGGTTAGGGATTACACTTAGTAAATATACACACAATACTTTTATCGGAGAATATACCCATATCTTTAAGATAGGCTAAATTTTTAAAACTGAAAAGCCTAGCGACTGCCAGGGTAATGAAGATCACGCTATATCTGGTTACTAATCGTCTAGTATAAATATTCCTAGAATATAGATTATAATAAACTGTGTAAATATACAGCGAGATAAACCTCTCTATGTATGGATGTTTAACACCGGCCATCTCCCACTGAGGCAGAGTGACCCGAAAAAAAGAAGAAACGAAAGTTTGTCTTTTTACTTTTAGTAGTTTATACAGAAGAGGTTATTAGCCCCTTACTACACACACTGCTTACAGAGGAAGTATCCTTTTCCACTTGCCCATGGATTATATATATATATATATATATATATATTATATATATATATATATATATATATATATATATATATATATATATATATATTATGCAGAAATCGCGAAGCGATATAAGATGCGAAACAACCACGGAGGGAGTTGAATAATAGCTCTAGGCCTTTCGCCTTGCAATCAACGTATCAGGAATTGCAACGTTGCAGAAGAGGATAAAGTTCCAGTGAACAAGTTCAGAGGGAGCTTTTTTTTTCAAAAACTCTCATGACCACTTTTGGTAGGCCTAGACTCTGCCGTCCCACTGAAAATCCTTTGCTCAATAATTCTTGGAGCAAAAACGTTTTTTTAAATTATTTTCTCTCGTAAAAGAATCTGTATTCTTGATTTGTAGATGTTTTCCATTGGAAATTTAACTATACTGAGGATGATTAAATTTAATTATCCTGTTTGTCAACCGAAGTGATCTAGTCTTCAGATTTAAGGATACATCAGTGAAAATATCTGACGGATAAATGTCATTATTTGAGAGTGTATCAGTTAATATACAATACTAATAAATATCATGGTTTAAGGGTGAATTAGCAAAGACGTAGGAATAAATATCACGGTCAACTAAAATTCAGTGACATCTATGTAGCGATAGTGGAATGTTGTTTTTCCAACGCTAGCACAAAGACTATTATGCCAGCAAAATGAGGTGTTTGTAAAAAGTGAAATATTCATGAAATCGACTCTTTATTATGACTCTCGAGTGTCTCGCTCTTCTAGAATTATTTTTTGCTGTAAAAACTTCATTTCCTACATGGCGCATGACGTGCAATTAAAATACATACTTATGTTGCTTTTGGCGATGTTATACTGTTTTCTCGGAAGCGTGAAACATATATTCAAAATTTTTATATCCCAAGAATAAACATGTAAATTTTCCATTAGCTCACG